GCCCAAGGTGGTCATCTGCACCAGATCTGCCAGCCTCTTTTTGTTTCACCATAAATGCACCTGAGCTGGAACTGACAGCAAATTCATGCTGCAACGAACACGATGAGTGACAAAAGCACCAGAAGAGATGTTTAAACTCAGACACGACCATGTGTCTCGTTCTGCAACGTTTCTGCTGTTTCAGCAATTTATTAACATGTTCAGCTGCTTCACGACTTGTCGGCTATAACTTTTGGTCCTTTAGAAATGAATGCTTTTGAGATATTTAGCCTTTTCTGCCATTTTTTATCTTTTGTTYTGGTTCTGTGGTCATTTGTCCTGATTTTAAGCTTCTTTCAGCTTTGATTTAGYTGATTTTAGCTTTTTTCTGGTTTCTGGTCATTCTGACTTTTTCTRTTMTTCTTCTTCTAATTTCAACTTTTTTCTGCTGTTTTTAGTGCTTTATGCTTCTTTCATCTGCTTTCTGATCATTGTAGCTGTTGTTTGTGTGTTTAAAGCTACTTTTAAGCTAACTGGATTCTTTTTCAGTTAATTTTTGTGATCATTTCAGCTTCTTACTGCTTCATTAAGTAAATTGTATTCTTTGTTTCCTTGTGCTAATTCCAGCTACTTTTTAAATCTATTTTAGGCGAGTTTCAGGTTTGTTTKTTTTTTTTAGCTATTCAGCAAAACTCTTTCAGCATTAAGCTTCCACACTGCATTTTGACAGGAAAAGCAAATTCTCTAGTTTCAATATTTTGTGCTTCTTTTAGCGTCTTTCTGCTATTTTAAACTTTTTATGCTTCTTTCAGAAAAAATATTTTCGTGTTTTCTGTGTTTTTAGCTCTTCGCATTTTGTGAAAATTTGAGCTTTTTACCGTTTAATTTGGCAAACGTGCCCTTTCTCCTTAATTTCAGCTACTTTTTAAGCTTTTTTTTGGCTGGTTTAAGCTTTTTTAGCTATACTTTAAAAGTCTTTTAGCATTAAGCATTCACACTTCAGACTTTTTTTTAAAAACGTGACTGTCCCTCAGCCTCAGAGTTGCTAACACAGCTGTCTGGGAATATATTTTTTTCTAGTGCAACAAACTGCACTTATACACTTTCATCTTAAATAACGTGGTAATGTCGAGCCAAGCAGTCAAACTGAGACAAACAGCTCTGAAGATGTGAGAAAGCTAAACACCTCATTTTTATTTTTGTGTCAACGCAAAATTAAACCTACAGTAAAGCAGCTGAAATGTTTGATTATAAGACATCATATTAGAACCTCATTTTGGAAAGCATGAGACGTAACACTAAACTTAATCTGTTGTCTTCAAATGATCTTCATCTTACATAAGTAAAGAGGATTCAGGTAAAATATTGGTAAATAAATTAAAAATACTAAAAAGCTTTGGGCTTATCTTAAAAATGAACAAATGTTTAAAACAAAAAAGTCATGGTTCGTTGCTGAATGAAACGTTGGCTCACAGGAAGATCAGCTCATCTGTGCTTTAAACAAACCAGACAGGCCCAATAAAAACACAGTCATATAAATCCTTTAGGTTTCTGCCAGCGGTCCGAGACCAACCGGACAGATTATATTTGATTATAACGCCAGAATGATTCCACCTCGTGCACGCTCCTGCATCATTAATCTGACAGTAATGCAGCCTGCGTGCGCAATAAATCTCAGACAAAGAAACCCGGTGAACGTATCTGTTTTCAGCGTTTACTCTGCTGTTTTTTTTTCTTTTTGTGTGTGTGTGTGTGTGTGTGTGTGTGTATCAGAATGTCCCCTCAGACCCCCACCATGAATTATTCATCAGCCCCCCTCCCCTCCCCTCCCTCCTCGACCCTAATCCTCGCCTTTGTGAAGCTGTGGTGCCGGCGAGCCTTCAGGGATCCGGTTTGCCGCATCATCTCCAGCGGCRGATATACAGATTTTTTTTCCCCCTCAGGAGGCAAGGGGATGGCACGAGATTCCTGAGGCAGCAAAATTTATTTTGGCAGGAACTGTTTTACTTTAGGGTTTAATTTTTTAACTACAAAAACGACACAAAACACTAAACTGAGCGCTGTTTGTCAGCGACAATTTCTTTTTAATTAAGTAGTATGAACAAATTCTAAGTCAGCCAATTAATGTGTCCTTATTTTTGAACTGTGCAAAATATGGAGTGGAAACAAAGGTGGGATAATATTTGTTGCCCCTCCGTGCCACCCCCTAGGATCGCCACTGATCATCTGGACTGTCACAAATCTGAGGTCCGTAATAATAACATCCCTGCAGCAGATGAGTGATGCTGAGTGTAACACAGTGACCTGGTTTCTGTCTTTGTCCTCCGTCTCCATCAGTGTTTCCTTTAAGATGTGGGAGTTTATCAGGGTTTAAACCTCACAGTTTCAGGAAACATTTCAAATTCTGCTTCCACTGTGTGCACGCTGACCTCTTTGTTACCTCCTCAGATAAATGCTGTCCACTTGTGTCCTCACCCTGACCTAATTCTGATTTATGTTCATCTTAAGTCCCCTGTGGGATCCCCAGACTCCAGTCCTGTTTGTGTCTCATTTGGATCAATTACAAAAACATTTAGAATAATAATATTYAATTTTGTGTTTGTTTTCAAACATGATGTGAGGAATTTATCGRGCAGAGGTTCATTAATAACCAGAGACTCTTCCTAACCCACAATCAGAGGCTGCCTGACCTGGTTTCTGGCTGCCCTGTGGGACTGTGTTCCGGTGCCCTGCCTCCTCTGAAGAGGATGCGCTGCAGCAGCTGGAACATGGATGTGAATGCCTGTGCATGGGATGGACGGAGGCCATGTCTCTTACCGTGCACGGGCAGAGGGATGAGGTGCAGAGCCAGGACGCACCACAGCAGCATTTGTCTCCAGCATCCCGGGAACACGCTCGCCTCCGTCTGTCTCCACATCCTGGTTCTGCGCGATGTTCCGATCAAAACGTGAAATAATAATAMAATTTAAAAATTTTAAAAGTGCTTCTGCTGGTGGAGCTGGCGGATCTCGCAGAAAGTAGTCCGGACTGGTGGATCTGTTGATCTGAGTGCGGTCTAGACTCCAGCCTGCGCGCGCTTCTCCTCCATGGCAGCTCGGTGTTCGGGCGGATCAGTGCGGCGGGTTTTCTACGGCTCCATCGCCACAGAACGCGGCGCGCGTGGCGGTGATGGTGGTGGAGGAGGCGTGGGGGAAGTGGGGGTGGTGGTGGTGGCCCAGGCACAGGCTCGGCTCGGTTTGGCTCGGAACGGATCGGTGCTTCGCACGCTTGTGGCTTGACGCACGGCGGAGAGTGCTGCGCGCGCTCAGCAGCCTTCTCTCATCTCTCATGAGGAGGACCCCCCTCCTCCTCCTCACCTCCCTCCCTCGCTTTCCCAAGACGCTTCCCACCTCCTCTTCCTCAATCTAAAACTTCATCTCAGTTTCACACCTTTGTGTGTTTCTGTTCCCACCTTCCTCTTCAGMCTTTTTGAACCCAGAGACCCCTCTCCTCCTCCCTCCTCTTCATTCCCCCTAAAACACAACTTTATGTGTTCCCCAGCACAAACAGAGCAATGTTGTATATGCTATTAAGTGCCAGGAGGACAGCGACCAGTTATACATCGGGGAAACAAAGCAGCC